GTGCAGTTAAAAGCCCAAGGCACTACCTGGGAACCAGGAGGGGCACAGGACCCAAAAAGGGGAAGAGCAGGGGCTACCTTGACCTTGACCCTACTGTATGCTACAACCCTCCTCCCACGGGAAGCATCCTGTACTCACTCCCAAGCAGATTTGTTAAAATAATATAGCCTACTATACATTATGCAGTTGTGAAAAGGATTTGATTTTTCCATCCCCAGAAGAGAGCTCCAGAACATGGATCTTGCCCTGTCCAGATAGAAGAGCCTTCACAAAGACTGTTGCTTCCAGAAATATGATGGCAAAGCCCCCGAGAATCCTTTAGCAGGATCAAATCGCCAAATAGTTGGGTTATTCCCGCTTGGATGAGTTTCCTATTGACGCTATAACAAATTACCACCAACTTAGAGCTTAAGACAAAATAAACTTACCATCTTACTGTTGTGTAGGTCAGGCGTCTGACACAGGTCTCACTGGACTAAAATCAAGATGTTGGCAGGGCTGCAGTTCTTTCTAAAGGCTTTGGGGGAGAATCCCTTTCCATTCCTTTTCCAGTTCCTGAAGGTGCCAGCCTTTCTTGGCTCATGACCCCACCTTAGCCTTCAAAGCCACCATCAGTGTGTGGGGTCCTCTCCTCATTGCGCCACTCTGCCTGTTGCTCCGCCATCGTGGCTGCCTCTGACCACAGCTGAGAAAGATTTCTCCCTCTAAGGGTTCGTTGATTAGATTCAGCCCACCTGGATAACCTAGGCGCTCTCCCTACCTCAAGGACCTTAACCCAATCTCAACTATAAAGTCTTCTTTGCCACGAAAAGTAACAGTAATTAAGCAGTAATACCTTCCAAACCAAACAGCTGGAGTGTTTGTTATAATGACTGAATGAATGAAAACCTCTTTTGTGATTTACAATCATGTGTATTCAATTCAGTTTTTTATTTATTGAGCACCTGCTATGTCCAGGGCAGTAGGCCAGGGGAAAAGGGGCATGACTCCACTGTGCATAAGGCAGGGGCCTGGCCCCACGTGGGAAGGACCACACAATGGCTTCCAGGGATTGAGACACTATGATAAATACTGAAAGTTTGGTTGCAGTTGTACATCTAAAACTAATATAATGTTATATGCCAAAAGTATCTCAATTTTTAAAATAATAAAAACTTAAAAAGGTATTGAACAGTTCCATCACCCAAAAACTCTCCTGTACCCTCTGTTGGACCCTTCTCCTTCACCTCTATCTTCTGGTACATCCATTTTCTGTTCCTACAATGTTGCCTTTCCCAGAATGTCATATACATGGAATCACACATTCTATGGCTTTTGAGACTGGCTGTTTCCACTTGGTGTAATGTATTTGACATTCATCCATGTCGTTGCATGTGTCAGGACTTAATTACTTTTTGTTGGTCAGTAGTATTCTATTGTATAAATGTACTGAAGAGTGCTTAAATATAGAAAAGTTGAAGGACATTTGGGTTGTTTATACTTCTTTGGCAATTACGATCACACTGCATGTGTAAGCTGCTATAAACATTTTTTTTAAAATGGCCACAGAGATCATGTCTATCTCATTGGACCTCACATTTGAGCCTCACCTAAACAACCATTCCTAATGCAATGGATTACCCTATCTTTATTTTTGGATATTTAATTCAAGATATGTTAGGATTGGTTAGCCTTGAGTCTTCATTGCCAACATGTCAGTGACAGCATACTTTCATGACATTTCAAGCCATGCTGCCATTATTTGTTAACATCCCAAATTCATTTTTTCTCCTTCAGATATTGTTACTGAAAACTTAATTCATTATTGTGCAAAAGAAAATATTCATTAATAGTCATATTGTCTAAATACTTTTCAAAACAGGAAAAGAATAAGGGAAGGAACAGATTAGGAGTTTTAAACTATACAGAAAAAAAATTATGGCTACCGGTTATAATAGTGAGCATCAGGAAGCTCTGGTGTTTTGAATAATTAATCTGATAAATGGCTTTTTCTGTGTATGTGCACGTGATTTAGTCTACAAACTTTCAGTGGTTGCTGACAGTCTACAAAGCACTGTGTGGCAGGTGATGTGGGGGGATGGAGAGAGGAGTAAGACATGACTCCAGCCTCCAGCAATAAAACATGGAAAGACCACCAAAGAAAAGGGTCTTCCAATATGGGACAACCTTAATGTCCCTAATTAGATTTAACATGATTACTTCAGTAACCACAGATTAACTATGACTTATTCCAAGTTGATTCACATTAAGGTTGTAGGAAGGGAAATATTTGTTTGTTTGTTTTTAAGTTTTTATTTAAATTCCAGTTATTTAACATACAATGTAATATTACTTTTAGGTATACAATTTAGTGATTCAACACTTAACATACAACACCCGGTGCTCATCACAATATGGGTTGGTCCTTTTATAAGGGCTAGAAGACAACACAGTTTTATGTCTTTGATTATAATTTTGATAAATACAGAATTTTTCCTCGTGCAGTTTTTGTACAAATTATTTGTAAAATCCAAGGGCATTTCCCTGAAGAGCTAAAAGAATGTTCTTTCCTACTGTTATACCAATAGAAACAGTCCCTAGAAAAGGAGAAGGAAGGGATAGTTGATATTGGCTCTCTGGAAAGTATTCATTTATTCATAACTTGTCAAGTGCTAGATTGTGGTCAAATATATTTAATTTATTAGGACCTGAAATACCAAAGCTGGTATCTCTATAGTAGAGACACTTATAAGCAATATTTTTGAGATTTCTAGGTATTGAGATCTACATAGAGGTTCCTAGGCCCTGAGACACAAAGGTCCATGCATTCCTGGATGGTTCTTAGATCTGGTCAACTAAAGAGCTATTTTCAGTTAAAAAATAACCTGTATCTTCTTCTAATGTCAAAATTAAAAGTTAACAAGACAAATCCAAAATATAAAGAGTAATACATTGCATGTGTAAAAAACTTTAAATATTGCTCTTAATTTTAAACCCAGGGAAGATGATAGCTAGGTCTTGCTGAGTCATAAGTCTTATTTTTTATTTCCTTTTAAAAATGTATTGACCATGTTTAAGACTCTTGCAGAGTTCTGCATTTATCCAAAGTTAAAAATGGTCCTGTGGCTCACCATCCTTTGAAAGTGTGTTCCAGATTTTTATTCTGGTGTGAAATTTAGCTCCACCAAGTTTTTCCTCCAATTTATGCTAGCATTTATGAACTGTCCAGCACTGTGGGTCTCTTCATTAATTATTCGCCAGGAGAAGGGACTATGGTCTCTATTGCTGGAGACACATGAAATCATAGATTTTCAGAGGTAGGGAAAATCTTCAAATAAAGCCACGGATGTCTTGAGCATGATGTCTTGATGAACAAATGCTATAGCTTGTAAACACAACTGGAACTCAAATCTGGGTGTTGAAACTGTTAATCCATGACATATCTTTGTAGATGTATAGCAAAAAAAAAAAGTAGGGAGGAGGGAATTCTTCTCAGAATACTCTCTCCTACATCTTCCAAATTATGGGTCCTTTGAAGTAAAACAATGCATTTTTTGATGAGCTTTAATTTGGATCATGGTAGCAGCATCTTTCACATTGTGAGAAAATATTAGTAAATTTGCTTAAAAATAAATTAGTTTAATTATGACCTAAACAACTGAATTACGCACTAATACATAGGAGGCACCATTTATAATTTTTTTTTAATTATTAGATTTTCTTACCCTACTTTTTGCCTTTGAAGTAATCTACTATGTACAGAGGATTCCTTACAATTGGCTGAATGGACTCTAAGCACCAGAGGGACAGTTAGGCTTTTCTTTTATTTTAATCCTAAACTGGTGTGCTGTTGTACCAGAAGAATATTCCAGTATTTCACTTTTCTGTGTTTTTACATTTTAGGAAGTTCAGCCAGAACCTGGTTGCTCAGCTTTGGTACTTTGTGAAATGTGTTTACTTCGGGTTGTCTGCCTACCAAATCCGTTGTGGCTATCCAACACGAGTCCTTGGAAACTTCCTCACCAAGAGCTACAATTATGTCAACCTCTTCTTGTTTCAAGGGTAAGGAAGGACACTCTGAATTGTCACAGTCACTGACGGAGGGGAGGCTGGCAATAGAAAGGCATTTGGTTTCCTTGGGAAGAACAGGAAGGTGCAGAATGCTGACGTAGCAATATGGATCATCACAGAACTCTGAGCGATGTTTGGCAAAAGACGGATATGCCCCTTTAAATACCTTTCTCTGGATAATTGCCGCACACCTGGCCAGTATATTGTTCTAGAATCAGACACATGGGTTAATTTTCTATTGCTGTATCCTGCATAATTACTGTGGTAATATTTCAGGATGAAAAATATGGATATGGGATCCTTAAGTATTAATATATTTCTGGGCACAGTGGAACAGAAATTTCCACTGGAATCTGGACTATTTCAAAATACCTTTGGGATTTTGTGTTTACCATGAGTTCCCCCATTGATGAGGGCCATTTTATTCCACCTAGAGTCAACCTAAATGCCACATGACTTGCTTGTTCCTGATAGTAAGTCAGCTACTCAAATGAAGCATACTGGCTCTTTGTGTGAGGATTTCTTTGGTAGTATCTCCTCTCTGTTCCCTTGGAAATTACACCACAGCATAAAAGGCCAGGCTGCTCATGGCACTGCTGGTTCCACGGTTGTACCAGACCTAGGGATGGTGACTTAGTCACAGAAGAGGTGTTGAGCATGCTCAGTGAGTCACTTAGTGTTGTTCTGTGGATGGCCTGGTATTTCTTACAGGGGTTGGATTAGTGTTCGCTTGGCAGGGCCGAGTGGCCTAGGGGAGAATTTCTGAGTGGTAACCCAAGCTGCTCTGAAGGCCCTGAGGTCCACCCAGGTTCTCCAGCCAGAGAGAAGCTCTGTGTTAGTCAAGAAACAAGGAATAATTAGCCAGCTAATTGAACATAATAATTTTAAATAAATAAATAAAAATTTAAAAATAAAGAATAAAAATAAAATTTAAACTTAAACTTAAATTGAAAAAAAAGAAAGAAAGAAAGAAACCCAAGGAATAGTCTCCATACCTAAGCGGAACCCAGGCCAACCCATTCCTAAATACAAGAAGATAACCCAGAATCTTATTAAACTTAGGCACCTACTAAGTCCACCAGGTATGGTCTCTACTGTGTGTGGCCAAATACATGTCCTGCTCCCTCTGACAGCTCTCATTTGCCCTCATCTTTCACGTACCAGCTATATAACTTTTCCTAGTTCATTCAGCAGCAAAACCGCAATGTTCTGTAATCCTCTGACCAACAGATTCTCATAAGCATATGTTTAAAAAAGTAAAATTATAGGGGGTTTTTTTGCAGAAGAAATATAGAAAATCCTAAAGACCCAACCAGAAAACTGTTGGAAGTAATCAATGAATTCAGTGTAAAGTTGCAGGATGTAAAATCAACATGCAGAAATCAGTGGTGTTTCCATATGCTAAGAACAAAATATCATGGGAAAAAAAAACAAAAAACAAAGCTAACCCATTCAGAACAGCACCAACAACAATGAAATACTTAGAAATAAATTTAACCAAAAAGATTTGTACAATCAAAACTACAAAGCTTTGGTGAGAAAAATTGGAGAGGACACCTTCAAACTTATTTAAAAAGGGAATCCTGGCGGGGCTGACCGGAGGGCTGGTCGACCCGGGCACCCCATCCCGAGGCCCGTGGCCCGAGGCCCGAGGCTCAAGGCTCAGGCCCCCCCCCCGCCCCGTCGACTGGACTGCTGGTCGACCCCGGCTCCCCAGGCGCAGGCTAAGTCCCGCCCGCCGCCTCGGCGCGGGGCCGACCGGAATGCTGGTCGACCCCTCCACCGGGAGGGAAAAGGAGCGCAAGGGCGTGTGCCCAGCGCAAGCACGCGCCGGCCGCCCTCCGGCCTCGGGTTCCCCCCTGAGAAAGGGGCCCGCGTGGCCGCCCCCCGACGACACCCTTGCGCGCCAGGCGGCCGCGACCCCACCGGCTTCCCCCTCCTTCCCCATCCCAGCCCGGGGCCGAGGGCCCCGGCGAGGCGGGAGAGGGGCCGGCGTGCCGGCCACCCCAACGCGCGTAGACGCGCTGGCGGTGTGCCCCACCTTCCGCCGCTCCCCGCGGCTCGGGCCCTCCCCCCACACACCTCGAAAGATGGGACGGGCGCCTCTCCCCGCCGGCCGGCCCGGCCCGGCCCCGCGGAAGGCGCGCGAGGCCCGCCGCCAAGCCGCTCCCCCGCAGCAGGGAGCTGCCGAGGGAGGGGGGAACCTGGGAAGCGGGCCCGCGAGAGGTTGAAGAACGGGTGGGGGAGGCTGCGAGCCCCCCCCTACACCCGCCGCCCCCGGCTCCCGCCTGGGCAGGGGCGGCGGGACGGCGGGGACTCGGACAAACCCTTGTGTCGAGGGCTGACTTTCAATAAATCGCAGGGAGGGAGCTGCTCTGCTAGGTCCGAAAACCCGACCCAGAAGCAGGTCGTCTAGGAATGGTTTAGCACCAGGTTCCCCAGGAACGTGCGTTGCGTGAGGGGCGAGGGGTCGGCCCCCTTTCCGGCCGCGGCCCCTTTCCCAGGCGAGGGGCTCTCTGCAGCGGACCCCGGTCCCTACTCGAGGCGGGGCATGCCCCGCCACGCAGGGCGAGCAAGGCGGCTGCGGGTGGGGACGGTGGGGGGCCGGCGATCCGAGGCCAACTGAGGCCCCCCGGCGCTGCCCTATAGTTGGGCCTGGGCGGGATTCTGACTTAGAGGCGTTCAGTCATAATCCCACAGATGGTAGCTTCGCCCCATTGGCTCCTCAGCCAAGCACGTCCATCAAATGTCTGAACCTGCCGTTCCTCTCCTACTGAGCAGGATTACCATGGCAACAACACATCATCAGTAGGGTAAAACTAACCTGTCTCACCACGGTCTAAGCCCAGCTCACTTCCCTATTAGTGGGTGAACAATCCAAGGCTTGGTGAATTCTGCTTCACAATGATAGAAGAGCTGACATGGAAGGATCAAAAAGCGACGTCGCTATGAACGCTTGGCCGCCACAAGCCAGTTACCCCTGTGGTAACTTTTCTGACACCTCCTGCTTAAAACCCAAAAGGTCAGAAGGATCGTGAGGCCCTCCTTTCACGGTCTGTATTCGTACTGAAAATCAAGATCAAGCGAGCTTTCACCCTTCTGCTCCTTGGGAGGTTTCTGTCCTCCCTGAGCTCGTCTTAGGACACCTGTGTTACCGTTTGACAGGTGTACCGCCCCAAACTCCCCACCTGGCACTGTCCCCGGAGCGGGTCGCGCCCGGCGGCATTGGCCGGGCGCTTGGCGCCAGAAGCGAGAGCACCTCGGGGCTCGCTACCCCCCCCCGCCCCCCGCCTCACCGGGTCAGTGGAAAAACGATAAGAGTACTGGTATTTCACCAGCAGCCGCAAGGCCTGCAGACCCCGCCCCGCCCCCTCGCGGGGACGGAGGGGCGCCGGGGGCCTCCCACTTATTCTACACCTCTCATGTCTCTTCACCGTGCCAGACTAGAGTCAAGCTCAACAGGGTCTGATGAATGGATAAAGAAGATGTGGTCCATATATACAATGGAATATCACTCAGCCATCAGAAAAGATGAATACCCAGCTTTTACATCAACATGGCGGGGAGTGGAGGAGATTATGCTAAGCGAAATAAGTCAAGCAGAGAAAGTCAATTACCATATGGTTTCACTTATTTGTGGAACATAAGGAATAACATGGAGGACATTAGGAGAAGGAAGGCGAAAATGGGGGGGGGGAATTGGAGGGAGAGATGAACCATGAGAGACTATGGACCTGAGAAACAAACAGGGTTCTAGAGGGGAGGGGGGAGGGGGGATTGGTTAGCCCAGTGATGGGTATTAAGGAGGGCACGTACTGCGTGGAGCACTGGGTGTTATACAAAAACAATGGATCGTGGATCACTACATCAAAAACTAATGATGTATGGTGACTAACATAATATAATAAAATTAAAAACTACAATAAATAAATAAATAAAATAAAAAGGGAATCCTGGGGCGCCTGGGTGGCTCGGTTGGTTAAGAGTCTGCCGTCAGCTCAAGTCATGATCTCTGGGTCCTGGGAATGAGCTCCGCATCGTGCTCCCTGCTCAGTGGGGAGCCTGCTTCTCCCTCTGCTGCTCCCCTGCCCCTCCCCAAATGCTCCTGTTCTCTCTCTCACTCTCTCTCCCTCAAATAAATAAAAAAAATTTTTTAAAAAGAATAAAAAATAAATAAAATAAAAAGGGAAACCTTATTTTGTTAAGACCATCAGCAAAAAGAAAAAAAATTTAAAAAGGAATGGAAATATTAATTTATACACTGACTCATGATGGAAAGAGATTGTAATTCCCAGTTGCATTTTACCATAAGGGTCACCCTGAGAATTGTTCCTGAGTCATAGGGTTAACAAAGTGGGGAACTACATGAGCTCCTGGGGTTGGGAGGGTGATGGGGGCCACCCCACAACTATCCGTCTAACAAGATGTGGCTTCTGGCAGGTTCCGCCTCGTTCCCTTTTTGACTGAGCTGAGGGCTGTGATGGACTGGGTGTGGACAGACACGACCTTGAGCCTCTCCAGCTGGATCTGTGTGGAAGACATCTATGCTCACATATTCATCCTGAAGTGTTGGCGGGAGTCTGAAAAAGTAAGCCGATAAAAATGCCTGATCCTTTTCTGTTTCCCTTCCATCAGGCTGGTTATAAGATTAATGTGAACCTCTGCAAGTTTTGTGGACAAATAAATGGGGGCAGGGGGCAAAAACAGTGAGGACCTATAAGTGTCCCATTGGTTTCCACCCCTTGGACTTGGGAATTTTGGACTCGCTGCTGCCTTAGCCAGCAATAGCATCCAGATGTGTTCCCCTCTTGGCAAATGCATATTGTAGTTATTTTAAAAAGAAGAAATGATGTATTGCTGTGTGACCCCATAATGCTTACATGGCTCATTTGGGAGCAGAAGGGAATGTGGTATGGTAGAGAAAAGTGAGGTCAGGTGGCTTGGACTCAGTCTTACCCTCTGATTCACTCTTTGATGAGCAATGGGACAATATAACGTCTTTGTGCAAAGGAAAATGAAGTGCAAATATTTGCTTATTCTGTGAGATTGACTATTAAGATTTGAATATGGATAGAATTACTGTTATTTATTAGATTTTTTAAAAGTTTAACATCTGAAACAGGAATCTGTTGTATAATAGCAATAGGACCACTCAACAAGCATTAGCTGAGGTGGTATAAAAATGTCTTTTTTTTTTCTCTTCTCGATAATACCCTCTTTGGAAAAGTTCCCTCTAGTCTATATATTTTCTAGTATGTTCTGTTGCTGCTTCTGGGAGTTTCAGCTTCACAGTCAGGGGCCTACTGACCTGTGGCCCCTGTGTTTATGGAGTTTGTCGGAGTGAAGCAAATAGGGCTGGCAGTAAACTTAAAATCATAGAGCTTGTCCTGATTTTTTAAGGAGCAGAAAAGCTGTTAAAATGACAGAATATGAGAGATATGAGAGCTGTTTTAAGGGACTTCAAAGGGACTTTGAAGGTAACCATCATGGTGCCAAAAGTTCTGGAAATCATGAAGAATGAAGAAGAATAGGAAGAACCAAGAATTATTCTGTCTGAAGTAGAAAAAAAAATGGAAAGAGGCAAAAACAATAGCTATTTGTAACTATTCAAAATACTGGGAAATAGAGGAAACGTCTGAATTTATTTGTAAGACTCAAGATAACAGAGTTAAGACAAGTGGGCAAAAGCTCTGGTAGGTTTCAATGGCATATGAAGAACTTTCTAGCACTCGAAGCTACCCCATCACAGCTTGGCTGCCTCAGGAGGTGTCCATGTACACAGAGTGACACTAGGAGAACTCACATCCTGGACCCTTTGTGCTGGGAAGCGCGGGTCCACCTCTAGCTCCAGGGGCTATTCATTCAGCAGTTACCTCATCAGTTGTCTATTGCTGCAATCAAACAATCTCAAACATAGTGATCTATATCTATATCTATATATATATGTGTGTGTGTGTGTGTTTGTTGTTGTGTTTTTTTGTTTTTTGTTTTTTTTTTGAGAGAAAGCACAGAACAGGGAGGGGCAGAAGGTGAGGGAGAGAGAGAATCCCAAGCAGGCTCCACGCCAAGCACAGAGCCCAACATGGGGCTTTATCCCACAACCCTGAGATCATGACCTGAGCTGAAACCAAGAGTTGGACACTTAACCGACTGAGCCTCCCAGGCGCCCCAAACTTAGTGGTTTAAAAATGACAACCATTTCCTTTGCTCACAATTGTGCGGGTGGGCAGTTTGGGCTGGACACCACTGGACAGACTTGCCCAGGGTCATCCTGTGGCTGCCCTTTCAGAGGGACCAAGCACAGGCAAGAGAAAGGCCAGAGAGAGAGTCAGTTCAAGACAGAGGCAAGTTGAGAGGATAATTTCAGAATGGAGAGGATCTGAACCTCTATAGGTGTTAAGGAAAAGAATAGTAGAAAAAAGAAAAGCAAACGTTTTTAGTATCAGAGCCAAAGGAAGAAGGTCCCAATGGGAGCCAGGAGGAGGGGCCGGGGGTGCTGGAAAGTGTGGAATCTGAGGCATGGGTGAACAAGTTAGTAGTGGGGAAGAGGAACGGCCATCCTACAGGAAAGCTGGAGAAAGATGGGCAGTGAACAAACACACACCACATAGCCCGGCTTCTCCATGAAATAGATGAGCTTCTGTGTTGACAGCAAGGGAGGAGGACTGCATCCCAAGACCCAGGGCACCGGAAACCGTGAGGTACTACTTCCTTTGGACGAATGGGCGGGGAGCTCTTACGAGGGGGTTTCTGAGTCAGAGCTCACACGACTGCCCCACGTTGATACGGGGCCACTTTTCATGGGAGCAGCTGTGTCGGCCCCATTTGTTGGCTCTTACAAGCCTTTCACTGCCTTTGAGCCAACACGTGCAACCTTCTTAATACCATAGTGAGGAGGTGACACCCATTGCCTGTCCTCCTTGTGCAGGCCGGTGTCTCTCTGCCCTAGAACACTAGGTACTCCTGCCCATGAAAGGTTTAGAATTATTGTTATTTTATCTTCAAGAAATAAAAAGCCTCGTTTTAATGTATCACCTCTACTTAAATATATACTTCTATCTTATGCTAAGTCGATGGATATTTCAGAATATAAGACTTTTTTAAAAAAGATTTTATTTGTTTATTATTTGAGAGAGAGAGAGATTGAGAGAATGAGTAGGAGGAGTGGCAGAGGGGGAAGCAGACTCCCCGCTGAGCAGGGAGCCCGATGTGGGGCTCAATCCTAGGACCCTGGGATCATGACCTGAGTGGAAGGCAGATGCTTAACCGCCTGAGCCACCCAGGCACTGGAGTATCAGCCTTCTAAATCACACCTGGTAGAACTTCCTGAGGAACTTAGGCGTCTGGGAAGTCAGTGTCAAGGGAGTCCAAGCGAACCTGGCACTCATTTCGACCCTGTCCCATCGGAGACTGAAACATTACCAGTGACAATCTCTTGTCTGGTGTGAGAAGAAGAGTAAACTTCTTTTAACAGTACTTTTCCTTGGGGATTATTCAGAGTCGAATGTGCTGTGCTTCAGGGGCTTTATGAATACACTTTATGAAGCCAGAACAATTTCCTGAAAGGCAGAGTCTTGGCATATGAACACCCACAAATGCAGGCCACTCGGTCCTAGTCATAGTTTACTGTTTTTTAAAAGATTTTATTTATTTATCTGAGAAAGAGAGAGAGCAAGCATGAGCAGGGGGCAGAGGGAGAGGGAGAAGCAGAGGGAGGAGCTCGATGTGGGGTTTGATCCCAGGACCCTGAGATCATGACCTGAGCTGAAGGCAGATGCTTAATGGACTGAGACAGCCAGGCGCCCCTCCACACACAACAGTTTTAAGAAGTTCTCTCAGGTCCCTTTGGTCCCTCCTGGTACCACTATGGAGATGTGTTGGGAGCTCATTACAGCTTCACATCACTACCTAACTTCGTGGGGACAAGTTTGCTCTCCCCACTTCAGAGTGAGCAGAGCACAATCAGGCCTCAGTCAGGTCCTGTGGGAAGAGCATGCGTCCTCCCCCCCCCCCCCGCCTGCTTCTGGTGCCAGGAGCCTGAGCCCTGTGTGACTCATCTGTTGCAGAGATACCCACAGCCCCGGGGGCAGAAGAAGAAGAAAGTGGTGAAGTACGGCATGGGAGGCATGATCATCGTTCTGCTCATCTGCATCGTCTGGTTTCCCCTTCTCTTCATGTCCTTGATCAAATCTGTGGCGGGGGTCATCAACCAGCCCCTGGATGTCTCGGTCACAATTACCCTGGGAGGGTACCAGGTAACTGCTGTGTACCTCCCCCCAGGTCTGGCGCCCCTGCCCGCATCTTTCCTGACCACCAGCTACAGGATGTTCAGTTAGCTCTTGCAGCCAGATTCCCCCCTGCATTTTAACTGGTCAGCAAATATGTGACATATGAGATAAAGCACAGAAGACATTGAAAGGGTAGTTCTGTTCTGGTGTGGGGCACCAGAGTAATCACTTCAAAAAGAGATCCCTGAGGCCAGTTGCCATTGGGTACTCAGTGGGTGATGATATACTGTGTAGAGATTTCTCTTTTAACCCAGGATGCAGAGACGAGCCTCGGGAGTGTTGACATCACTGTTTCTTTGTTTTCCAGCCCATTTTCACAATGAGTGCCCAGCAAAGCCAGTTGAAAGTTATGGATCAGCCAAAGTTTAATAAATTTATGAAAGCTTTCTCTAGGGACACTGTAAGTAAATGCGTATAGTAGATGTCTGTGAAGACATTTCATCTAGGTGAGCTTACTGCTTGTCATTTTATTCACTGTTCTGCCATGGCCTGTGGTGGTGGGAAGGACTCTTCAGGGATTACCAGTGGCCATTGGCCACTTGGATAATCTGATACATTATGTCTGTATTATTGGATATAAGTGTCAATAAACATAATTTTAATTCAGGACATTTTAATGTAAGCTCAACAGATGTAGGTCCTCTTTTATATTTTTAAATGTTTTTAATTGTGGTAGATACTGATCCCTTTGATCAGTAGATCTACTCTGAGAATCTGTCTTCAGGGAGTAATTCAAAATTTTGGAAAAGCTCTATGCAGGTACCTGCTTGTGATGGCATGCTCTGTATTGACAAAAGTTGGAAGCAACAGAGGGCTCAACAAGTAGGGACTGATTGAATAAATTATGGCAAATGTATCGAGTGAATTTGATAGGCACTGGCTTCTCTAGGGTGGTCGGCATGGGAGAAGGGGTCTACCACTTTTCATTTTATTTACATGCTATGCTGTCTGAATATTTTCCAAGAAACTTCTTTTGTAATACAAGATAATCCTTACAAAGACTATGTGTGGCATGCACACTTCTCAAGATAAAACATAAATGAAGAAGAATATATGCTATTATTTTTTTAAATGATTTCCTACTGCATATAATGGTGATAATATTCTGTTGGCAAAGTTGTGGCTGATGTATTCTTTTCTCTCCACTGCAAACTTACAATAATATGATAAATTGATTTTTCATAATTAAAATTTGCTTTACAATAATACTTTCTTATTTAAAGAAAATGATTAGGTAGGCAGATGCTTAGCTCTTTTATGAAATTATCAGCCTATAATGCACACTGCCCAAACTCATCTCAAGGGATGTGCAGCTCTGAAGGTAGGACCAAGATATTGTGGGTGGATTAAATTTGACTGTCTCATGAGAGAGAACACCCCAAGAGCTGATAAATTTCCTTCTTAGTGGGGAGGAGAAATGACACCAAATCCGTTGATTTTTCTTTATTAATTGGAATGATTCCATACTTATGCTGGTACTGAGATTGCTTTGTGTAACTGGGGCTGCCCATCCCAGTGCAGAGGGGAACAAAATAGTACCATGGAGCACCAAGGCCATCCACTGTAGAAACTGTCCTTCCAGAGAAGAAATCCTCTTTCTGCAGTCCATTAATAGGAAGAGTAATCACTTTATTTATTCATCACCATGTATATGATCTATTTATGCATGTGTATTTGTGCACATACAGGGTGCTATGCAATTTCTGGAAAATTATGAAAAAGAAGACATAACAGTAGCAGAACTGGAAGGAAATTCAAATTCTTTGTGGACCATCAGCCCTCCCAGTAAGCAGAAAATGATAGAGGAACTCATGGACCCCAATAGTAGCTTCTCTGTTGTTTTTTCATGGAGTATTCAGAGGTAGTTACTGTCTTTCCATGTATGATTTCCCCCTTTCCCCCCAGTCCAAACTCGGGGTGGGGGTGGGAGGCTAGAAGGAAAGAAAAATTCAATTGATGTGGATTTTAGTTGACATTATGCTTTGGGAACATTCATTCGATGCTACAGCTAACCTTTGTGTTTATTAAATAATGATCTGCCTGGGAATCTGGCAAAAATAAGGACTTTTTAGTTTTCCTTTTTCCTACTAACTTCAGTCTCTAAAGAGAGGCTGGCAATGAGTTCTGTGAACAAGAGAGAGAGGTAAAGTGAAAAGGAAAAGGGTAAGGACTTATAAAATGAAATAGTCTGATGACTGTAAGATTTCCCTGAAAGGGTGAATTTTGGTCTTATGAAGAAACGAAGAACTTGCAGCCTCGGAAACCGCAATTCTCATTACATCCCCCCAACATGGGGAAACCCTAACAGATCTTTTCTCCGCGCGTGGGGTGTGAGAGCAGCCTGGCAGCCCCAGGAGGGGGAGAGCTGAGACTCCTTCTCACCTAACCTGAGCCAATGGCCAGCATGCAGCCACTACTTTGCTCTTTTGTTTTTTAAGTTTTTATTTAAATTCCAGTTAACATACAGCGTGATATTAGTTTCAGATGTACAATATAGTGATTCAGCACTTCCATACAACACCCGGTGTTCATCACAAGTGCCCTAATCCTTAATCCCGTCACCTAGTTCACCCATCCCTCCACCCACCTCCCCTCTGATAACCAACAGTTCGCTCTCTGTAGTTAAGAGTCTGTTTCTTGGTTTGCCTCCTTCTCACTTTTTTTTTTCACCTTTGCTCCTTTGTTTTGTTTCTTAAATTCCACAGATGAGTGAAATCATATGGTATTTGTCTTTCTCTGACTGACTTGTTTTGCTTAACATAATACTCTCCAGCTTTATCCACATCTTTGCAAATAACCAGATTTCATTCTTTTTGGTGGCTGAATAATATCTATATCTATATCTATCTATCTATATAGATCTATCTATCTATATAGATAGATATAGATATATATACACACACACACACCACATCTTCCTTATCCATTCCTAAGAGCATGTCTTAGGAAAAGCTCCTGCATTCAAAAACCCATTGTGTTGCTGATCCTTAGACTTCAGAACTCTCTTCCAACATGGCCCAAGACAACTCTCCAAACAAGACCATAACAATGAATCAGAGACGCAGCCGCACCAAATTCACAGAAGATCAATTGAAAATCCTCATCAAGGCATTTCACCAAAATCCTTACCCAGGTTATGCTACCAAACAAAGACTCGCTTTAGAAATCAACACTGATGAGTCCAGAATCCAGATTTGGTTTCAGAATCGAAGAGCTAGGCACCAGTGCCAGAAAAAATCAGAACCCGATGAGGACTTAGAATCAAGTCAAGACCAAGATCACTCTGAAGAGGAGATTCAAAAGAAGACAGACGGTGTCGTACCAGCTACACTTCTTCGCAATTACACACCCTCATCGAGGCATTTATGAACAACCCTTATCCTGGCATTGACACCAGAGAGCAACTTGCTAAAGAAATTGGCATTCCAGAGTCAAGAGTCCAAATTTGGTTTCAAAATCGGAGATCCAGATTCCATGTCCAGAGAAAAAGAGAACCTGATGATCAAGACTCAGAACAGAGACAAGACCAGGAACAGGATCTCTGAATGAGAGAGTTCAAGAGAGAGAGAGGGAGAGTGCACAAAGAGAGGGAGCAGCATGCAGAGGGAGAAGCAGGGTCCCTGCTGACCAAGGAGCCTGACGCGGGACTGGATTCCGGGACCCTGGGATCATGACCTGGGCCGAAGGCAGACACTTAACGACTGAGCCACCCAGGCACCCTAGGCAGTATTTTCTTTTTAAATAATTAAGTGTAATTGTAGTAAAATAAATAGAACATAATATGTACTATCACAACCAGCGTAAAAAAAAAAAAAAAACCCATTGTGTTAGTGAAGCACTTGGGGAACCTCGACACAATAAAGTAGTTGAAAGGCTTGGTGTTTGTTTGTTTGTTATTACAGTCTTGTGGTTCAGGATTCTATGCAAGCTTATTTGGGAAGTCAAGTGATAGGTGCATTTGGGTCCATGATTCCTGGCTTCTAGGATGAAATTAAGAAAGAATCATGATAGGAACCTAAGAAACCTCCAATCTAAAATGAATTTCCAAGGAAATAGTAAAGAAAGATTTCAAAGGGGGCTGTTCAGAATTGAAAGAACTCCTTCCTGAATCTTATTTTCTCCTTTAGAATTTACATCCGAAGTTCCTCACATGAAATTCTAGACTGCCAAAAATTTATTTTCGAGCCTTTTCTTTGAAGAGCTACCAAAAAATTAACAACATTAAAGATCAACTTTTGATTGAACATTCTTTTAAAAATGTGCATTCTATTAGTCACCATGGAGACTAACCTCATTGGATCAATATAAAGAGTGTTGCAGAAATTCATACCAGAGCATCAAGATGGTTTCTCTTTTAGTCAGCAGACTGCCTCCTCACCTGCCGTCTGTTTTAAAGGTGTTTGTGGCCTCCCTGGGGTTTACTAACTTGGTTGTCTAAGAAGCTGGATGTAAAGGTGAGGTGGACAGAAAAGGTTGGGGTTGACAGTTGTGGACCCAATGAAGACTTGGTGAGATTAATAAAATGAAGAGTCAAATGAATTTTTGAATCTCTCTTCCAGACTTCTGAATAATCACTGACATTGAGCCCTTTTATCTCTCTTCACAGAAACATGAGTCTGGGTGCAAAAGCAGAAATAGCAACGGATAAGCTTTCTTTTCCTCTTAAAAATATTACACGTAAGAATATAGCTAAAATGATAGCCGGCAACAACACAGAAAGTTCAAGAACACCAGTGTAAGTGATTGCTCCTGTTAATTAGCTTTAACAGATGGCTATATCTGGTACAAAATGTCCATTTGCAAATTCACATATGCAAGAAATGCAACTTTCTCCATTCTTCAGTAACTCAAGTGAATTCTACTTGGAGGCCTCCTTGTGTTGCATTAAAGCAGCTCTGTTTTCCTCCCCTCTCACTCTCTGTCCACCTAGAGGCCTGGGAGTCCTGATCTTGTCTCTGAGTAGCAAACCTTGTTCTTATCTAAGCTGATTATCTGACCATAATCACCAAAAGCCAGGGAAAGCGCCTGGGAGACCCTTCTTCTACTACTACTCCTGACTTGGGCTCACTGAATGCCTGGCTAATGGATGGGGGATGTGGGGAAGACAAGGGGTAAAAGGATATTTAGGGGGTGGGGAATCTATCTTAATATATTATCCTGCCATATAAGTACTCCACTTCAAACAAATCCAAGCTGGGATGTTTAGATTCTAATAGGAAAACTAGTAGGGGGGGGGGAAATGCTCTGGGTGCAAAACTGCTAAATGACGTTCACCGGCCAATGTCTAGTTCTGACCTCCAGTCTGTGCCGGCCCCACTTTAATGTGTTGAGTATAAGAACGGCCATGATATAGTCCTCACATGTGTTCCCTAAGACAGCCTTTTTTAATCACTAAAGTTGAAGGAACCTCAAAGATTGTCCGATCTTCCCCCATCATTTCCCCATGAGAGGACAGGCCTAGAAGGATAGAGTGACCTGCTCACATTACTCAGTTTGTCCTCAGCAGAGGGAGGGACAGGTCCAGGCCACCAGTTGTCTCCTTGGGCCTCACTCTTGGCACTAGATAAATTCATGCAGTCTACTTGATTATAGATATAATTATATATCTCCATAGAGTACAGACATAGATCCTAGCAAGAAAGACAGCTCCTTGCTTCAGAAACGGTCACAGACGTGGGAAATCTCTGTAGCAGTTTTTAAGGCATTAACTAGCTCATGTACAGAGTTTACCTAAGTATTCGAATAAAACAACTGAATTTGTTTGGCTTCAGAAATTTCTGATTATAATGGAACCCAGAAATTGTGATGACATCACATTGCATAGAAGTACAAAGACTCACCATCGTTTGTTTGAGATGAGGTCAAAAATAGCAACAAAAAATCAGTTTTATGTGGATAAAACAACTAAAACTTCCTTACTCTCCCCCCTTTTTTTCTTAACACACAGGACTATAGAAAAGATCTACCCATATTATGTGAAAGCACCTAGTGATTCAAACTCAAAACCTATAAAGCAACTTTTGTCTGGTAAGGATGAGAAGGAATTGTTTCAGAACTTTTTAAAATCCTTTTATTCAGTGTCTACAGTTTGCATTTTCAGCCTTTCTCAAGCTGCTTTCCAGTTTTCTTTCCCTGTGAGACACGGCTTACAGGAAGCATGAGACTCCCAGCTGCGGTCACCAGCCAGAAGGATCCAGTCAGGCACCAGCAGCCATATTCTTCATGGTTTTCATTGATATAGAACGTGATTGGCTTAAATCCACATTTAGCAGCTTTGGTTACTGATTCATCAGTTTACTTGTTTCTATTAGCATCCATCTCTTTGGCAGAAATGGCCTTATGCAATATTAAATATGAAAGCCCCACAATAAGAATAATAAAAATGGAGCAGGAAATCTACTTGATTCAGCCCACGGATGGTTATGTATCAATGTTAGTCTCTAGGGACTGTGTTTACCCAAAACAACGATGATGATAGGATGTTGATGCTTGGGGATTCTTAAGCATTAATTACTAAGCATTGTTTGACTTCATCAATTGCCTGGATCAGAGCAGATGTGTACATGTGATAAAGGTAGAAGGACAAAGCAGTTATCCAAGTCATGGTCACTCCTTTGTCAACGTGGGTTGCTCATGGTCACCAGGCAGTGTGTCAGGCACTGGAGACCAGGCTCCAGTGGTCTGATTAGATGTAAGTAAACAACTGGAAGCCCCCATTGAGATCACCAGAAGTAGAGGCAGGATAGAGGTTCGGAAGACAAGCATGGGTGGGTCCCACATCTCTATGCTTTTCTTCCTCAACAGTCAAAAATACATATGTCTTACACGGTAATTGTGAGATGCCTTGAGAACTTTGGTATTTCCATTTCAGTCCAAATAGTTCTAGAAATGCTTAGTCCAAGAGCACAAATTGCTCAACCATGAGTCATTCCCTCTGAAATGCTTCTGTCCGTCAGTGGGCCCTTCACAGCTGCTGAACCTCATCAGATGATCCCGCAAGCCTGCTAGGGCACTCCTTCAGCTGCCTCCCTCTCCCTGGCAATGGGTCTCAAATTTCCCCCATTCTCCCCACTTCCTTTCAGCTTCAGGAAGATGGGGCTCCTCCCTGTAGGGTCAGCCTCACTTTGTGCCCAGATTCCCAGCCCCTCCCCACCCTTATTTTCCCCTTTCTCAGCCACATGTTCTGTGCTCCGCAAACACAGGCCTACTGGCTGTGAGTCATCTGAGGTCCAGCCAATGACTTCTTGTCCAGACCACGTGGTCTTGGTGCTCTTGGGTCCTGCCAACCCAACAGCTTCTCTAATGATCTTTACCTAGTTATGTCTGATCTTTAGCATAGGTTGGTGGCTATTGCCAATCTATAAAGGAGGAAACTGAGGCTCAGGGTGTGAATTACTCAGCAGAGGTTATACAGCCAGTATGTGAATAAACTAGATTCAAACCTAGGCCAGATGTTCCCTCTCAGAACCCTCTAGACTTCAGAACCAAGATTCTTTTTGTTCCTGAGCATTCTGGGTGGTTCACATTTGTCCTGGGTAAGGGTTTCTTTCTCTTTACCAGTTTCCTGCCTCACTCTCCATCAGTCCATCCATCCATCCATCCATCCATCCATCCAATCCATCCAATCCATCCATCCATCCATCCATCCATCCATCCAATCCATCCATCCATCCATCCATCCATCCATCCATCAAATAGACATTCATTACCAGGCACTGTCCCAGATTCCTCTGATCCAGGAATTTAGCAGGAAATAATGCAAACACAGCCCCTAGCCTCACAGTCCACCACCAGGACTCTCAACGGAGACCCTATTATCATTGACAGGGGTGGTATTTTCTTAGAAAGACTTGCTCAGAGAACTCCCAAGCTTTTTCCCACCCTTTTACTATTCTTTTATATTGACTCTGTGATCCAACAAAAGCAATCATTAATCACATATTATGGATTTTCAGAACTTTACTGAGCTTCATGCCACCAAGCCTTCCTGAACTAGCCTCCTCTCCCCCTCCATCTCCACTTACTGAAGTTCACACTCTGCAAAACTCAGCTCAGAAGCCGTCTCCTCTGCGAAGCCCTCCTGGATCCTACCAAGCAGATGTAGTCTCCCCATGCTAACAACCTCATCGGTGCAGGTCCTATAGTGCCCATAAGTCCCACTTGTATACATGGCCTGTTCCCGTTGAGATATGGAATCATGCTGTACTCAACTTTGTAACCCTTATCACTTGACAGAGTGTCTCCCTCTTCAAAGACATGCAATAAATGCTGGTAATAAGATTGAATTAGTCAAATGACTAAAAAGTCAGTGATTTGGGTTTTTAAATGTCTAACTAGTTGTTTGGAATTATCAGCAAAGACACTCAGGTGATGGGTCTTCCCTCTCTCCTGTGATGTGTCTGCCATGCTCACTCAGCAGCAGTGAGCTACATGTCTCGTGACAAGGAGAAACTTTATGTACACTTAGGGCCCACTTTTCTTTCTCTACTCACATTGTTACCATGTCCCTGTGTCCTACTCATCCTGGCACCATATGCTATGAACAGTAGTAACTAGGTTTTGCCATCTGAGGACTGCTAATTGCATTAAATCCTAATAGTCTCATGCTAACTTGATTTCATTTTTCTCCTCTTCCAGAAAATAATTTCATGAATATCACCATCATTTTGTCCAGAGACAATACAACTAAATCTAACAGTGAGTGGTGGGTTCTCAACCTGACTGGCAATAGAATATTCAATCAGCATGCCCAGGCCTTGGAACTGGTGGTCTTCAATGACAAAGTCAGCCCCCCAAGTCTGGGGTTCTTGGCTGGCTATGGGTAAGAACTTATTTTACAGTTAACAGTTACAAGAGTCTACTTCTGTATCATATAAAGTTGAGGATGGGAAGCCTTGTCTCTTCCTAGAATTCTTGAACTTAATAGCTGCAACATTAAAATTCATAGGTCACTGGCCCTTCATTTTAAAAAATGAAGAACCGGAGTTCCAAAGAAGTCAAAATGCCTGATGTCTGTAACACCCTTTAAGGACAGGTCTAGAAGTCCTATGTCCAGTTTCTTCACTCTACATCTTCCTGTTATGTTTGAGGCCACTAAGTGTTTAAACATAGAAATTGATGTAAGGTTACCTCTTTTCTGTTTAGATTGTCTTCTGACCTTAGCAGACATGGCCTCAGTCAGACGTCGCAGTTTGGGACATGGTCCAATGTCCAGAATGGTCTGAAGCTACCGTTTCACAGTTTTCTGATCCTTAAGTGCTAGGACACATACATCCCCAACAAGACACGAACGTCTGTTAAAAAATCATTGTCTATGCAAAATTGTATTTTTAAAAATAAAGAGCTAGGTGCAGAAAAGTGTATATAGTACAATGGCATTTCTACCAAATATATTATGTGGTTTCTTTATATAATATATGCAGTAAAACTACCTGAAGTTCATCCATGAAACTGTTAACACTGGTCATTTCCAGAATTGAGATTTTTTTTTTTAATTTTCATTTTTTAAGTCTTATAGTTCTGTAAGGGAAAAACTTCAAGCTTTGATAAGTTTATCATATCTTCATAGAATTGGAGGGAAATACTGTTTGTTTGTTTGTTTTCTCTTAGATGTGTTCTATTAACTGTATTTAACTGGTAGATACAATTTCTACTTATTTTTTTTTTCAGTATCATGGGATTATATGCTTCAGTTGTCCTCGTGATTGGGAAGTTTGTCCGCGAATTCTTCAGTGGGATTTCTCACTCCATCATGTTTGAAGAGCTTCCAAATGTGGATCGAATCCTGAAGTTGTGCACAGATATTTTTTTAGTTCGAGAGACAGGGGAACTGGAATTAGAGGAAGATCTCTATGCCAAATTAATATTCCTGTACCGCTCACCAGAAACCATGATCAAATGGACTAGAGAAAAAACAAATTGATACTTTAAGACACAGACTGCAAATCAAGTTAACATTTGAATTTTTTAAAAAGCACAATATTCTCATAAGAGCTAAGCATTTCTAGTTGGACGGAAATGGTTTCTCTTCTGACAGGTGTTCAAAAGGAGCTGACTTCCTTTTGCAGTCTAAGCTACCTTGCAAATGAAGGCGCTGTTGAAAAAGTTATTTGTAATTCCATTTCTCCAAAATCAGGGCTACTTGTTTTATGTTTTAGTCAACAGTGTCTTGCATTCTGATTGACTATGCAAAGGAGTCATTTATGGGTCTCCTCCCTCAGAGAAACAGGAGAGAAGGAGGAAGAAAGAAAGACACCCATTTTTTTCTGCGCGGGGACCTGAAGAGATCCTATAATGGCGAACGCTGCGCTCTGTCGCCATGGGGAAGCTGCTGTGAGGAGAACAGATGGCCTCAGCACACCCCGAAAATACGCAACAGCAATAGGAGGCTGAAACTCCTGAACGGATTTGTAGGGGGAAACGAGAAAGGGAGCCAAGGACCCATGAAGATACCAGAGGAAGGATAAGCCTCATTCTAAGCAAAAAGTTAACGCTAGTGACACTCTTACTGCCTTATCTTAACTGAAGACTAATAAAAAATCTTTCCATTTAACACCAGTGACTTCTCAGGAAAAAAAAAAAACAACAACAGCAAAACAAATATGTGGACACCGGCTTTGTTGAGGCCCAGCTCGTGACTCTCTTCAGTGGTGGTGGCTGTCCTGCTTCAGTCACTGCTCCTCGTCAGACACAGGCTCCAGGTAGAAGGATAAAAATGGTGCCCAGCTGGGCGTGGAATGAATACTCTGACTAACTCTTTACTAACTGAGGTCATGAACGCTCTTCTACCTTTCCCCATCCCTCAACACGCTTTTTCTCATTTCGATGATTTAAGGCAATGGTGTTTTCCAGTCTGTGACATTTTCCTTCCTGTTTTTCAGGTATATCAAAAGTTTACATATTCCAATTCACATTTTTACATCCGAGACGGGTTTTTTAAGTTCATAATTATGAAAGAAATATGTATATTGAGCTTGGGGAAATAAAAAATGGCCTTTTCTTAAATTATTATTATTGGTAATACAACCTCTTCATTAAATAACAATGTAGCATGAAAATTTATGATTGAAATGTAGTTTTCATTCCATATTAAAATACAGTTTGTGAGGAATCATCGAATGGACTAGAATACGTCAAAAAAATGATCCTATGTAGTTTGGGTTCAGGACTGACTTAAAATAAAGCACATCTTGCAAAGTCATTTCAAGAATATTCTTCATTCTGCCTCTTTTGCATTAAGTAGGAAAAATGATTGTTTTCAATACTGTGTACAGAGTGTTAAAAAAATCAACTGAGAAGAATTCACTTCTTGGTGGATTTGTCTTTCTCATGCAAATAATAAGATTATATTATTCTATGTGAATAATATAAGCAGGACACAAATGGTAACAAATTAATTTCCAAAAGTTACGGTGAATATGGAGCTGTTCAGTGTCTTCTAGAAAACTAGTGCATATTTGTTCTTCAAACGTGAAAGCCAACATACTTCCACACTTCGGAAATCAACTCCTCCAGTCATCATAGCAATAAACTCAGACTACTGGGGCGCCTGGGTGGCTCAGTCGTTAAGTGTCTGCCTTCGGCTCAGGTCATGATCCCAGGGTCCTGGGATCGAGCCCCACATCGGGCTCCCTGCTCCGCGGGAAGCCTGCTTCTCTCTCTCCCACTCCCCCTGCTTGTGTTCCCTCTCTCGCTGTGTCTCTCTCTGTCGAATAAATAAAATCTTAAAAAAAAAAAATTTTAAAAAAAATAATAAACTCAGACTACTTAGGGGAACTCTTTGGACCACGTTCTGATTTCCCAACAACAGCAAGAATCACTGTGCGTATTTCTGGTTGTGAATTCTTTCTTTTAAAGATGTCAACTCAAGGGAATTTCCAGAGAGTGCGTTGACACATTTAGGAAAGAGGAGAAGTAGGCAAAGCTCCTGAGAAGAAAGTGTAAAGTCAAAGTATACCAGAATGGTAATGTTCCTCAAGAGAACAAGTTCCAAGGTTCAAGAAAAAGCTTCCCCATGTGTCAGAGGGGAAAATGTCAAAGGAAATCTAAAAGATAGAAATAAAGAAATGTAGAAGGGAAGTGCTTCTTCCAGGGAGGGCTGTGGAGGCTAGAGTGGAAATGGCAGATAGTGAGGAGGTCTTCCAGTGCTGGCCCGGCCACTGTGAGGCAGGGAACCCCCAGGCCAGCAGGTCACTTCCCCGTTCAGCCTTGTGTATCCGACAACATGAAGGGGTCATTCTCCGGTACGCAGCCACATTCTAAGCCCTGGCCCAACAGACGCTCCTTGTGAGAGCGGCCTGCCACCTTAGATTGGGTTCTCTGGAGATAGCCTCTGAAATGAACGGCCACCAAGGACATTTGGGCCACAGTCCCAGGAGTTACACTGGTCAGCAAGGAAGGCAGGATCAGGCAGAGGGGCAAGCTGCCCCACCATGCAGCTGCAGATGAGCTCTGGTCACAGCTGCTGCATTTACCTCTTTACTCTTCTGGGTGTGCAGCACTGAGTCCCCCAGGGACCCCTGAGCACCAGCATATTCCTCCCACCCCCGCTGTACAGCCCCGGCCCTCCCCTCTCTGGTGGCCTGGGCCAGTTATCCCTGTCCATAACGTGACCCTGTGCATAAGGTGATCCCATCTATAAGGTGGGGTGACCCTGTCCCTTGCCAGAACTCTCTTATTGTCCTTCTAGTTTAATTATCCTTTCTAAAATAATTATTTTCATTTTTCACTAGTTTTCAAATCCTGATTTCTTTTTTTTTTT